TTTTTTTTTTTGTTGCAAAAACGGTAAATTGCAAATATCTCAAAAACGGTACCATAGAATTAAAAATAACCTTGATTTTCGGAATCAGGGGGTGATTTTACATAAGAATTTCATAACGGCGTTTCTGGTAAAGAGAAAAAGTTGAAATTTGTGGTCCAGTGTTATTATATGTATACCATTTTAAAGGCCTATATATCCTCTTCTCAGATCATATTTGGTTGGGCAGCTGCCACCTTCCCCCCTTACAGCTATATAAAGAAGGAGAAAATTTCAAAAATCAATAAATAAAAAAGACAACATTTTATGCGTAATCAAATTCGTAATTATGCTCTCAATTTCGACAAAAGCCTGCGTTTTAATGATGAATCCATTGAAGTAAGGACAGCGTTAAGCATTGAATTGGTACAGAATTGAATGAAACACCCACTTACCATTCTGTGATGAACAAGATGGAAAACCCAACTAGAAAAACACTTCCTCTTCCGTTAAATCTTGTTGTGAATGACTTAAACGAGGTTCCAGAAATAAGAAATACTATTTCTACCCTAAAAGATGTGACAAACTTTTTTTCGCGAATCGACGACACGCAAGAATTATGATCCTAATTTATCGCGTTTGTGTGAAACAAGATGGTCGGAAAAATATAAGGCTATCAGGAAATTGTCCTGAAGTTGTGGAAGCTTTAGAATAGTGGTCAATTCAGGGAAACTTTTCCACAAGAAAGCCTGCGTGGCAATTGTGTGCTGCTATAACTAGGCCGATGTTCATCATTGCTTTAATGATAATTGCTAAATATTCAACGTTGCTGGAACCTACAGCAAACAATTTGCAAATGAAGACAATAACAAGACCTCATCGCCGTTGGTCAGCATATTGAAAATATTTTAGAGGTGGTTACGAATGATCGCAAGAATGCAGAAGGAGTCACTACGGAGTTAATTAAAAAATCCCGTATGATTACAGCCGATATAGGAGTTGGCGACGGTCTATAATAAAACCGTATCTGGATTCACTAACAGCCTCTTTACAACAACGCTTTTCCAATGAAAATACTCCAGGTTTTTTTACTGTCTAGATTGCACCCATTGTATTCGACTAAAGCTCTACTCAGAATTGCAGCGGGCGACGGTAAAGCGGTCGATGGTTAACCGCTGTCAAAATTAAAACTCACTAAGGCATATGGAATGGTCCATAATTGTGGCGGCAGCGTTTTTACCACCGACGTTTTTCGGTCCGAAGAAGATAAGAGGGATGTTGAAGTTGTAGATCTATTTAAAGGGAAAAAACGAATTTCTAACAGCGATAAATAAGTGTATTTCCATTTTGAACGCTTTTCCATGCACAACAGTGACTATTGAGCGATCGTTTAGTACACTTCGTAGAGTCAAAACCTGGCTCAGAAGCACAACAGGAGAAGGAAAGCTTTCTGGACTATGCCTTATGAGCGACCATAGAAAACTCGCTACCGAAAACCGCGAGATGATTCAGAAGGAAACAATCGAAAAATTTGTTGAAAATCCGAGACGTTTACTGTTAGCATAAGAATGATAACATAAAAATATATCAAAAAAATTAAGTATATTTTGTTTATCCCCACGAGAAATTTTTGACAGTAAATTGGCGGCGTGCGTGAATATTAGGTAAGCCTGTAAGGCAGCCGAATGTCAGGAAATAAAGAGAGAAAGCTGTTTTATTACTTCACCTGTTAATTACGCCATGGTCTAATGAATGTACATTACCAGAAAATAATTACAGGTATTCGCGAACCGGTGCATACTGTCAAACAACGAGAAAAATTGCTAATCATGTTATTTATGATATCTATGCACCATGCTAGACAGTTTGCACCGGATCGTGAATTACCTTATTGCTTTTTCTTGCTTACAAGAAAAGGCTATGGCGCATTCTAACAAAACGGGTTGGACATTTTACTCGTTTTTGCTCAATCTTGAAGTAATTTCTCTTGAAGCATTAATTCCAAAAATTTTCAAAAGTTAACACTTGAAGTCAGATATTAGTTTAATATGAAACTAATAATGTATATAACTTTATTATATAACTTATACACAAAATTGACATTTTCATATACTGTGGTTTTCAAATAAACATATTGGCGGTTAAAGGCCAAAACCGCGTATCATGGTTCTGCAAAACCCCGTAACTGACATTTGTGCCAAAAAAGATATTTGGTCGGAAGCTCTTGCCATCAAGCCCTTATCTGTTCATACTAAAATATCGATACTTAGAGATAAGAAAAAGAGATAACTAGGGATAAAAGAGAGAAATAAGACAAGTTTTATTATCTCAGCTCACATACGAGGTTTTGCATTTTCTTGATACGCGTTTTTGTACTTTAAATTACGATATGTACATATGTATATCTATACATATTATATATTTTTAAGCAAAAACTACAACCGACTTCAATTCTCATATAAACATTTAGGAGTACCATTAATTTTTTCATGATCCAATGACCGGATCTTAATCAAATTAGCATGGGACCACCTGTGAGACACTACCTTTTCGATAGCATTGAAATTGGTTACCAAAGTTATGCGGTAGGTAACATACATAAAAAAAATATATACAGTATATTTTGCTTAGCTGCCCATCCTTCTTTGCACGAAAAACTTGTGCACTTAACCGAAAAAGCACTTAAGCGAATTTTCTTACTACTTCAATGAGGAAAGTATCCGAACCCCTTTGTAATCAAATAATGGAACAGCACTTACCACGTAGAAAACGTGAATTGTTGGTGAAAATGTCGGTCCCAAATGTTTAAATAAAAAAATGATTTTGGGCGAGACGAAGTTCACCGGGTCTGCTAGTATGTTTTATATTAACAAGTTTAGTAATATACCCTAAGCCTAAGAGATAATTTTTCTTTGAGAACGCAACTGTATTTCATTCTACATATATTGTTACATATTTGAAATCAAATGTCTATGCTAGCATGTTCACAACAATCCATGCAATATTTTAATTCACATACATACAATTGTATTTAGTGTTATACAAATATATTTAGTATTAGTAAATTTTAAAGCAATTTCTGCATACATATGTATCTGTGATTAGATTTGAATTTATTACGCTAAGAATTCTCTGAGGCAAAGACTCCATAAAAGCCTGATAACAGGAAAAATTAAGTGTTTTTGGTTTCATATGTATAACTTTTGTTCTGTTTCTACGTAAATACACGCATACATATGTATGTAACTGCTAATTGGGTTCAAAACAATGCAATATTAAATAAGTTTATTTATTTATAATTTAGGTTTCAAACTAACAACGATCAGAGGGCAATAACACGAGTGCAAATAGCACGAGTCTGAGAATACAGGTAAATAAGTTCTCCGTGCAAATACTATAACGTATGTATAAATACTACATACTTGAATACGAACTAAACGGACTATCTAACTTACTCAATATTCTAGTTGAAAAGTTGAGAGGCGACGGAGCAGACACATGGCTATCGGGTTATGTACATATACCAATAAAAAAAGATTACAGAAAAGTTTCAAATTTTTCGGATGAATACTTGAAGAATCGAGGCGAAGACGATTAAAATCTGAGATAGTCTACGACAGGGTACATACTACCGACAGATGAAACTGGATATGCAGATAGTAAATAATCGGCAACGCGTATGGATGGCGTTATTGAGCTGTAAATTTTTACCGACAATTTACTAAAGTTACACGCATATTTCCCCCTCTGCTAAATATTTATAAAGTGTAGCAATAATGGTAAAAGTTAACAAACGACTATTGCCAATAAAGGCGCATTTCTTCTTCTTTATGGCGGGTAAGTTTTATGCGGCTATGTTATTTTAACGTTCGTTAATTTGAATTCAAATTTCTTCAATTGTTGCTGTCAGCGATGGGACCTATTCTACCACAGCTATCGGTTTATGGAAAACAGTTGGGCATTACACCGGATATTATGGGTTATATTACTTCAGTCCTACCTATAATGTATGTCATAGCGAAACCGATTGTGGGCTATATTGCTGACTATTTTTCGGTAACTTTTTGTGATTAAAATTAAAATATTCACAAAACGGTTAAAGGAGTAAGCCCGCCAATTTTATTCATTTTAGCACTTCCGTAAATTTATTTTCGCTGTGCTAATCTTCTTGATGACGCTTTCTTATGCCACCTTCTATTTTGTACCAACATCAAATTCGCATGCAATCGCTTTGGATGTAACAGATATTTGGAATGTCAGTTTAGTAGCTTCAAATCTAACCGACTGTGATCCAGAGGTATGTATGATTGTGCAGACATTTGAATTGATTAAATATATTAGGGATTCTGTTGTGGATCAGGTTGAATTTTTCTTAACGTCGCTCAATTCACAAAATGTCAAGGGATAACTTTTTTTGTGGAAATTAAAGAGGGCTTCAAAATCGTACTATTTGAACCAAAAATCTTAAGTATGGCGTAACGGAGACTAACTCTTGCGTCCAAAAAATTTGTTTAACCCTTTCACGACCTATACTGCAAACATAAAATATGTATTAACTGTATATTTAGCTTTGTCGATATATCGTCCCCCTTATGCCAGAAGCATGCATGGGCAAATTTACCAATTTTGAATTATCTATCAATCAAAAAGAATACTCTTAGATTTATCGCTTAGGAGACATCACTTTTTGCTCCTAAGCGAGTAATAACGGAGTACAAAACCGACAAATCTCGCTTATTGCTCCCAAATCATGTCTCAGGGAGCATTCTTTAATTGCTCGCTTAGGAGATCTCTCATTAAGCTCCTAAGCGAGCAATACAGGAATCATAGTTGCCAACTTGGTGCTTTAAGCACTAGATTTAGTGCTTTTTGAAAATTAAAACGCCAAAAAAAAATTATTTAGTGCCTAGTGCCTTTTTAATGCTTTTTTTTTGAACTAAAATTACTTCGAGATAGTTAAAACCTGAAATAATTTGAAATATTTAAGGCTGTGGCAGCACCGAATTTACAAGAACCTACAAATTTAAATGGACTAAAATACAACCATGATTGATAAAAAGCTGAAGTTGCAAACCCACCTTGTTAAATTCGATTCGCGTTGAAAATGCTAGTACGCACGTAAGTTAAGTATTTCTTTTTTCTTTTCTATTTGTACAAATTTTGTTTTTTTTACCACCTGAGTGAAACACTTCGTTTCTTGGTGCTGAATCCAAATCTGGCCCTACAATTGCTCTAGCACTAGAATTTTGAGATATTCTAACCTCAAAGTGCCCAAAAAAACACCGTTTTTGGCGATATTTGAGGTTATATAATGAAAACATATAATTGTTTGCTCATTTCTAATTAGGGCATCATTTTCGTTTGATGCGATTCGATTTTTCTTTCTCGAGATATACCAGTTTCAATGTGCAGTACTTCGGTATTATGTTATGAAAAAAGCATCCCTTGATTAAAAAAAATTTGGTGCTTTTAGTGTGGTAAAATGCCTTTTTTCCAAGTTTTCGGTGCTTTTTGAAAATAAAAAGATGGCAACACTGACAGGAATACAAAACCAAGAAATCTCGTTTACTGCTCCCAAATCATGCCTCAGGGAGCATTATTTCGTCGCTCGCTTAGGAGATCTCATATTTGACTCCTAAACGAGTAATAAAGGAGTACAAAACCGACAAATCTCTCTTATTGCTCAGAAATCAGGTTAAGGGGAGTACTCTTTTATTCCTCACACAGGGAGATCTCCCTTCAAGTTCTAGTGCGAATAGCCCAATATAAAAATGCACAAATCTGTACAAATGTAGCAATCGAGTGCCTTAAAAATTTATGCAATTAAACAAAGAAAAAATAACCAAATTTAAATAACCCCCCTTAAATACGGCCTTATATGTATACATGTTTATAATTAGATGATAAGCTCCGATTACAATTTTATTGGGCAAAATGTACATAATGTGATTAGATACAGCCATGTTAGTCAGAAAATCTAGCTAAATGATTTTGTACAGCTAGCTTGTTCTATTCGAACCACTGTGCATTGTTGGGCGCAAATTTTTTGCTACACAAAGGCGGATGCGTAGTATATTGGCTGTAACAAGATAGTGGTCCGAAATTTTTAGATAACCTAAACTTCATATGCACAACAAAAGCATACATATTATATTTAAATGAGCATTTCCTTTAGAATAACCCTTAATGGCTAAATTAAAGCTAAATTATAAAGATAATTTCTATTCTATATTAAATTCGCATTATTCTTAAAAAATAAAAATTTGTCAGAGTTAAATTTCTAAACGAAAATTAGCTGAAGATTAGCCGAATAAACAAGCATATGAACAAATAGAAAACGTTTATAACCCGCTAGCGTATATTCATGCATATACATATACATGTAGACAGATATGTATGTAGACATCTCAGCCTTCTTTAAATTAATTAGGGTCGTATAATATGTACACTTTTTAAAATTTTTAAAAAGTCTGACCTCACCGCTATCCAAGAAATGCGGTGGGCGGGGTAAGGCAAATAAATGCATGGGACCTTGGGACATCTACCACCGCCGTTCACTCCGGTGGACGAGAAGAGAGCCTCCGTCATGATATAAAAATCGTACTTGCAGATTTCAGTGCCAGGGTGGGCCACAAAGGGGTATTTGGCCCTACTGTCGGTAAACTCGAAATGTCCGATAACCGACTGAGGCTGATCGACTTCATCGGTAACATAAATTCCGTAGACTGTTCTGTCTTTTATAGGTTAGATATGGAAGCAAAGCGAAGGTTTCTGGTCGTAAATGAGGACAAGACGACGTACTCGTATCTGCTGATAGTTATAATTTCGAAAAAGGAGAGAATGTCGTTAGTTTGGGAACCAGCATTAACACCGATAACAATGTCAACCAGAAATGCAGCGCAGAATCACTCTTGCCAACAAGTTCTTCTTTGTACTGAGTGGGCAAATGAGAAGTAAAGTTATTTCTCTACGTATAAAAACAGCACGCTATAAGTCACATATATGGCGCAGAAGCATGGACAATGACAACATCCGATGAGGCTGTTCTTGGAGTATTCGAGAGAAATATTTTGCGTAAGATTTACAGGCCTTTGCGCGGTGGAGACGGCGAGTATCACAGACGATAGAACCATGAGCTGTATGATCTTCACAACGGCGTGAACATATTGCTGCGATGTAAAATACAGCGGCTCCGCCAGCTTGGCTGTATCTTTCGATGGAACATACCTCCACCTCTGTACTTGGAGCCCGCTGGTAGTAACAGAGGATAATGGAAGCCTCCTCTGCGTTAGCAAGGCCAAGAGGAAAAGGACTTGGCTTCATGTGACATTTCCAATTGCCGCCAGTTGGAACAGAAGCGAAACGACTGCGTGCTTCGTCGAACTCAAGCACCAAACAAGAAGTAGTGATGTTCCGATACCAGTTCTTAAAAGTATATTTATTTACATATGAGGGATTCACAATGGTGTCGTAAGTGTGGTATTGTTGTATGTCGTAAACCTTAAAAGCTCAAATAAATGTTTAGAGAACTTTTACCAACAATTTTTTTAACACTGCGAAAATACATAATATGACTTTGATGGTACTTTTCGAACCCCCTTAATATATTTTTTAGGCGTTTAAAGTTTACGACACACAACAATACGACACCGTTGTGAATACCCCAATAGTTTATTTGAGGTTTTCTCTACAGTGATAGATATCTTATTAAATTAAACGAGCAAATCTTGTATATCTTGTATTTATCTTGTCATGTCTCCAATTCGCTTCATTTTTTTGTGGGTTCTAAACATCAAATAAGCTAACACGTGCTCGAGGAATTTTTTTTCGCTTTTTTCTTTGGTGAAATGATCTGTCAAAGTTTGAATTTTTTCGTGATTCTGACTAATCATGTACTTCTTTAAATCATTATATCTCGGGTTCTCCTGATCGTATAGACTTCATCTTAATGTCATTTTAAAGCTAAGAAACGGGCTTAAGATTTCTATATATAAGACTGTCAAGATTGCCCTAAAGCTAACTTAGCTATTAACAGTTGAACTTTTCGAAGTTGATTTGCATAGTGAAGCCCGGTAAATTAGGGATTTAAAATTATACTATCTTAATCCTTGTTTAATTCCCTATAAAAAGCGTGGTTCGAAAATAAAGGGGTCTTTCAAGAACTTTTTTTAAAATATTTTTCTTTATGGCGGGATGGTTTATTTTGTGAGAATCAACAATTTTTTGTAAATTTTTTCGAAAACTTATGTTAAGATTTATTTGGGAAGGTGTTAAACATCGGGTCTTTGCAAAAAGTAAAATTTTATTGCGACTAACTACTTCTATTACTAAATATATGTATCTCAAAATAAATTTTGGAAAACAAATTACAAAACAATTGTTCTTTCTCACAAAATAAACCATCTCGTCATAAAGAAAAATATTTTACAAATAGTTTTTGAAAAACCCCAATTTTTTTTAACCACGTTTTTCATAGGGAATTAAACAAGGATTAAGATAGTATAATTTTAAATCCCTAATTTACCGGGCTTCACTATGCAAATCAACTTCAAAAAGTTCAACTGTTAATAGCTAAGTTAGCTTTAGGACAATCTTGACAGTCTTATATAAAGAAATATTAAGCCCGTCTCTTTAGCTTTAAAACGACGTTAAGATGAAGTCTCTACGATTGGCAGAACCCGAGATATGACGATTTGAAGGAGTACATGATTAGTCACGAATATCTCCAAAGAAAAAAGCGAAAAAAAAATTCCTCGAACACGTGTTAGCTTATTTCATGTATAGAACCCATAAAAAAACTTGAAGCCAATCGAAAGTGTGACACCAAATTTGGTGTCTGATATGAAAAAGAATGTCTCATATGTGGGTCATTCCATACAATATTTACACCTCAATATTTTTTTTGTGATGAAATATATCTTTTTTCAATTGTTTGCAGTTAATAAACTATTTGTCGGAGAAAATCAGTTAAGGTGTCAAAATGTGCAGAATTACCTCGGCTTTTTATGAGAATGTGAGATAGATTAAAATAAAATTTTCATTAAAAAATCGTTTTTTTTTTTATTTTTCTTTTTATTAACTTCATCATCTTTGACTTGTATTTTTTTCGACATGAATAGCTGTCAAACTTTATGGAGTAAGCTGTAAAAATTTGAGAATGGAAACAACAAAACTGTAGAAGTTACGAGTTTTTTCATTCCTGCGTACATAAAGTTTGGTGTTTCCATTCTCAAATTTTTACAACTTACTCCATAAAGTTTGACAACTGTTAAGGTTGAACAAAATAATCAAGCATGATGAAGTTAATACAAAAAATAAAAAATGCCAATTTTTATTGCAAACATGTTTTTATTTTAATCTATCTCACACTCTCATGGAAAGTCGAGGTAATGACGCACATTTTGATACGTTAACTTATTTTCTCCGACAAATAGTTTATTAACTGCAAACAATTAACACTGATGTGTAAATATTGTATGGAATGACCCATATATATCTATATATATAATACGCGAAGGGATTTTTTGTTCCGGATAAAAGATCTGCACCGTTCGCTCGATTTTCAAAAATGGGGTGTTAAACTAAAGCTATTGGCCTGTAGATGTGTAAACCGGTTTTATTTTTTCGAACAGAGTTGCCACCTGTAGAACAATTGAATATAAACTATTTAATAAATAATGCCATCATAACCGCACCGCATCGGACTTCTACCACATTGTGGTAGATCTGCCACTTTTTTGAGCATCTACCACATCTACCACTCAAGGTCTGAAATCTACCACATATTCGCGTTTTTCAGTAGTTTTATTTTTGCTTGACATAATTTTCGTAATTTTAAGAGCAAAAATGGTCCAACACTAAACACTTTTATGGTAACAAGAAAGATATAATACAAGATTCCGCATTCCCGGCGACGATATAGATTTCTCAAGTAAAAGTAAACAAAGCCGAATAAAATAAGCTGTAAAATAGTAAATTTTCTCAGTAATCAATTTTTCGACAAGAAACGTGGTTTTATTGCGTTAAATTGCAAAATATATGATTTATAAAAAGAATTAATAGAGAAAATGTCAAAAAACGGCGAATTTTGGGAAAGTATTAGCAAATATAAGTGCATCTAAGGTTTCTGAGGCCTTGTTTACTTTTACTTGAGCATTGTCAAAATCGGCAAATCCTAATTAGCTGTGATAAAAAGAAAAGTTGGCAGCACTCCGCAAGGTTGCAGAGATCTTTTAAAATATGTTCGAAAAATATCTTAATATGAAGGGAACCTGCTTTACACAGTCAAGGAAAAAAATTGCTAAAACTCAACGCAATTTTTAGCAACTTCAATCTTGCACTTTATTATACTAAAACTAGTTTTTTTTTAGAGTCTAATTAAAAAGTTCTCAATTTAGGTGAAACCTTACCGAATTTTTTCAATTTTAGTACAAAGTTTGATCCAAAACCTGAGATATACCACATTTTTTTGAAATCTGCCACATTTTTTTCCTGATTCTACAACACATAATTTTTTTAAGTCCGATCACTGGTTGCCACCTCTTCAAAAAATTAAATTCAATTTGAATTAAGGAAAGTAGTTAGGAGAAATATGATTCAACATATGGATGCATAACGAAAGGGGCTTCAGAAGGTATCCGTTTGAAAATATTTTGAAGAGGGTTGCCACCTGCTTGCAATGTCGAATTTAGTTAACTTATCCACAAGTTATATGAAATGTCTAAATAATGATGTCAAACGAAAGAATGTTAAAAAGACTTCAGTTTGAACACAAAAAATATTTTTGAGGTGTTGGAAGACCTGTTTAAAAATTAAATTCGAATTATTAAATAAGTTAAAAGAATTATTAAATTATTTTTGAGGTGTGGGAAGAGGGTTCCCACCTGTTTAAAAATTAAATTCAAATTATTAAATAAGTGAAATGAATTATTAAAATATGAGTCTCAATCGAATGGACTACATTTAGTAGGGTTGCCACATGTTTAATCAATAAAATTCAACTTAATTCATCAGTTAATTAAAATATGTATAGCAATGTTAGGCAAAGAATATTTAAGAATATCGCAATATGGATGGACTACTTTTAAAGAGGGCTGCCGCTTTTTGAAAAAGTCGAACTTAACTATATCTATATATATATAAAACGCGAAAAGACTTTTTGTCCAGATCATCAGATCTGAACCGTTTGTACGATTTTCAAAAGTGAGGTATTAAATTAAAGGGCTTGTTGTGTAGATGTGCAATAGGGTTTTACTTTTCCGAAAGGAGTGGTACCCTTTTAAAAAATCAAGTTGAAATTATTTATATATCAATGCCATCATATCCCCATCCTTCGCTCGATTTTAAAAATGAGGTGTCAAATTAAAAGGCTTGGTTGCAGATGTGTAATGAAAAGAGTTGCCTCCTTTAAAAAATTAGATTCAATTCATTTCAAAAACTAAATCAGCGGTTTGAAAAGCCTAATTTATTTAGCTTTTACAAATATGGGTGGCAAAAGAAATAGAAATAGTTTAAATAAAACTTTAGTTTGAAAATATTTTTTTTCGGGTTGCCATCTATTCGATTTTTATTCAACGATAAAGTTCGATAATTGTGTTATCAGCCGTCTCGGTGCGCAACAGGATGCGCTACTGCGAAGACAGTCCCATGATGAAATCGTGTTCCATAACTAATGGGAATATTTGTTCTTTCGCATAAACCCATAATATACCGAAAAATTAGTTTTAGTTAATTTTTTTAAATAAATAATTTTTTTGTTATGGATCTTTTATGTGTTCGTTATCAGATCAGATCATTCTAAATGTGCATAAAGGATTTATTTTTTAAAGTTACGACTTTTTTGGCGATACAGGGTGGTTTGATTTTTGAAAAACCGACGCCATGTGTGACCCCTCTTCGTTCAGAAAGGGCTGGACGAATTTACTTGAAACATTTGCAATATTTATTAAGGTTTTTGAATAGTGTTGCCATCTGTTTAAAAAGTTAAATTTAATTTTGGCGTCTTAACGCCATAAGGGTTCACTAGTATATATATATGTATATATATCCATGGGGTTCTCGGAAACGGCTCTAACGATTTTCATGAAATTTTGTACACAGATAATGTTTTGTATTCTAAGGTTATATGAATAGGCATTATCTCCGAGAAGACTCGTATAAGGTTGCCACCTATTCGAAATTAGTTACGAATTATGTAAAAACTTCAAAATATTCAGCACATGGAAGGTATTTTAAAGATCCCTAATTCAAAACTATTTTTAATAGGGTTTCCGCATATTTTGAGTCGCATATTTATTTAAATTTTTGTGTAGAAAAAAAGATAAAATATAATTATTCATGGGTACCAAGAGAAGGTTCTTAAACAATGCTTTGCCTATATACAAAGTGGTATCCCTGAGGATAGTAGTGTAAGGTTGCCACTTATTTTCGATTCTACACAATTTATCTAAAACATCGCAATATGGATATCAAATAAAAGGTATTGTTGAGAACTTTGGTAAGAAAATATTTTCGATCAGGGTTCCCACGCTTCTATGTAATACACATTTTTATTTTATTAATTTTCATCAGCATTTTTTGTTTATGTATACACAGTATATATACGCTCAAGATATGTACTATTCATTCCAGCGTATTTCGGAATAGGGTAGCAACTTAAATTTTGGAGTAAGAAATGCACTTAATAGATATCGAAATCCAAATTTTTTTTGTTTGTTTCAAAAATATTTTTTAAAGCTATCGAAATATTGATATTGATATCCAAACCTTGAAAACTTTAGCGAGTATATGCATTCCGGGCAAAGCTCGGTCAACCTGGTACTTAGAGCTTAACTTCCAAAACTAATTAAGAACAATAAAACATCAATTAGAAATGCATACATAATACAAAGTAAATTCGTCTTTATATGCACATATATATACATACATACTCGTATATTTACAATTTAGTCATTAAACGACTTTTCCTCTCTTCCTCCATAGGTATTGACGTCTTTTGCGCTGTGTTCCGCATCTCGCACAGCCCGCTGTTCATTTGAATCGGCCAACAGTACCGAATTTGGTGCGCATTTTACGGCTACTTCAACGAAGTTTGCTCGCCAGCTAAATTTGTCCAGCAATGTGATAGCACCAGTCGATTCTCATATGTGCCTTGCTTCATCTACTAACAACAAAGCAGCAAGCATCAAACCCAATTCCAACATTTTGTGCCATTTCGACCAGAGTTTACAAACGGACTGCATTTATTCAACCCCCACCTTTTGGCTGTTTGTTACCTTTATGTGCTTAGGAACGATTGGTTTTAATGTAGTCAATTCGATTTCGGATGCCATATGCTTTGATATGCTTGGCGAGTCGGAAGAGGGCAAGTATGGAGCTCAACGAGTTTGGGGCACCATAGGTTTTGGTGCCTCTGCCCTGTTAGCTGGGATTGCCGTAAATCTTTGGACCACAGAGGCGTTTAAGAGTTTCACTCCTGCATTGGTCGTCATGCTCATCTTCAGTGGCTTCGATTTGATAAGCGTTTCCAAGCTAAAATTGCCAAAGCTATCTTCGTCGGAGTCTATTTTTAAGGACGTTTGGAACTTGATCAGCCATCCCGCTATTGCTATATTTTTGGTGTTTGCTACAATTGCCGGTATAATTGATTCATTCATCATATACTTTATGTTCTGGCATCTCGAAGAGGTAGCCGCTGAAACGGGCTATATGTCTCAGATTAAACTTATCGAAGGCTGCGTTGTTGCTGCCGAATGTCTCGCCGGAGAAGTGCCTTTCTTTTTCTACAGTGGCAAAATAATCAAAAAGCTGGGCTATATACATTGTATGACCATGTGCTTCTTCTTCTATGCAATGCGTCTTGCACTCATTTCTTGGATACCAAATCCCTGGTACTTAGTGGGTGTAGAATTGTTCTTCCAAGGCAGTACCTACGCGCTGTGTTACACTTGCATTGTGGCCTATGCATCGGCTGTGGCGCCACTTGGCACATCGGCTACAGTACAGGGCCTAATGGCTGGCATGGATGATGGTCTTGGCTTCTCTATCGGGTCACTAGTAGGTGGCTTAGTTTTCAAACGCTACGGAGGTCGACAGAGCTTTTTCTACTTCGCGATAGTTGCGTTTACGGCGTGTGTGCTTCACATGTTGGTACGGCCGCGATCGCGTAAAAAGCAATACTTGCCAAAGAGTGGTTATCAAGTACCTACAGAGCAGGTGACTATCGACCCGTTGACTGTGGGTGAGCCAAATAAGGCGTGATTAAGACTGGAAATGTGAACTGTTTTTGCAATGATTACTGTTTGAAATTTTAAAACTTATTTTTAAAACTAATATTTTGTTATTTTTGATACATATACATACATATGTACATATATATATGTACATACCCAACGGGACTGAAAGTTAGCTGCTCCCCAAAGGAGCAAGTACGGAGCAGTACAAAAACAAAGTAAAAAATATTTTTTTTTAATTCTAACAATGCTCAGAAATAAATATAATTTTGAGTAGTAACATAACTATTTTCTTTTGAAAAAAAGTTAATTTATGTACAAACATGTATGTATGTGTGTATGTATGTATTTTCGTATGTATACCGCATAGAAAAGAAAACAATAAGTACACTTAATAAAGCCATCAACTGGTTTACAAAAACGCTAAGGGCTTCTGTGGGAGGAACAAGGGAGCGCTTCTTTCTAATGAGTCATTAGTAGTGACACACAATGTTAAAATCATTATAAAAGCATAGTAAGGTAAAACCGTTCTCTCAATGCGTCGGCCATGATTTTTTTTTTTTGAAGTTTGCCAACATTTTAAAATCGTATAACATTGAGAGTAAAAAAGGGAATTGTTCAAAGTTGTTGTTGTTTGAGATTGAAAATGAGAATGAGTTTGTGAGTTTGTGATTAAATTTTAAAATTAAATTGCTTGCAAACGTCAATAATTTGAAAAATTCCTCTCAGCGGTTCTACCTTCCTATTTTTCAAAGTGTATTAAAAAAGGTGTGATTGACAACTCAGGTAGGCTCTCTTTTGTAAGGTACTATTATGTCAAAAAATATAAACAATCGATTCAAAATTCATGATTAATTTTTTCAATTTGACTTTATAGGATGGTTCCTCTGAGAGCAAAGTCAAATTCAATCCCACTTTGTTGAATACATTTTGCTTTTTTTTTATCATGGTTAAAATAAAATGAAGCATGATTCAATAATATAAGGTTAGATAATTATTGACAGCTGCGGTTTGACACTCCCTTTCAAAAGGTGGCATACACGAAGGACAGAGAAAGGGGAAGAATGCAATCCCTTGTTGCGAAAATGGTAGTAGAAAAGTACGCAAAGTAGACAATTAGTAGTGAAATTCCTTTTGTAAATTCTAATGTATTCGCAGGAAATCTGGCATTTTAAAGAAAATATTGAACGAAATATTAATATATCCACGTGAAATATGTAATTTATGTGCTATTTAGCTGTATAAAAACTGCCAAAGGACTCAAAACTAAAACAAAACTACTGTGGGTTTTATGTAAACATCCAGTTTAAAAAAAATTTATGTTTTCATCACTTAAATGTGCTTCATATGCATATACAAATAAACATATTGCACAAAAGCTTATACGTCTATTTCGCAGCAAAGCTACACTTTTTCCAAGTAAATTTGCAAAGAAGCAACAGGACAACTGTCAGTTTATCGAAATTTGTATTCAGTGTTGCCAGGTCTTCGGCATGAGAAAACGTCCCTCTTGGTCTAAAAAAACGTCATTTCCTACCCAAAAACGTCTTTCAAATGAATGTACAGAAAGTTGTTTTTATTAAACTTTTATTGTATACAAAGGTACATATGTACTTAAGGTATATTAAAATGTCACTTCGACAAAGCACATTTAAAATTCATTCATTTGTTAATATAAAAATCATTTTATACATACACTTGTGATCAGCTGATTAAGTCATCAACATTTTGATCGATTTTGGCTGTTTCTCTTTTGATTATTTAATGTTTATTATTTTTCCATAAAACCAAGCTCATTATATGTATATATAAAATCCACATTTCAAACTTTGTGCAAAAATTATAAAAAATCGGCAAAGTTCCAGCTAGATTTTTAACTTTTTATTCACATTTTTTAGAATTTTTTTGGGTATGCAGTGATAGCCCATTAAATTTCAGGGCAATAATGTGCAAGTTTAAATGGGCTAAATAATCGCATTGATTTTTAATATTTTTTTAAAAAAGTCGCCTACTTTTTTCTGACTTTTTATGCTGCGAAGCTTTTTTGATGCTTTTGCGAACGTGCGTGTTGCAATAGATCGGCTCTTCCTGATTTAGCATTTAATGTGCAATTGCAAACATTACAAGTACAATAAGCCTCGTAACCTCAAGAGTTTACACAACCAGCCTTTGAACACGGGATCCTTAGTCCAAGAATCGTATTTAAGTCATCTGTGTCCAAAGAATAAATATCTTTTGAAGCAGCTGTTGCAAAACACAAAACTTGTAAAGATTTATTAAGAAGTTACTGGGAAGTTAAAAAACTTCATTTTTTTACACAAAAAGAACGTCCAAACGTCCACAGGATACAAAAAACGTCCAAATGACGTTAAAAACATCAACCTGGCAACGCTGCTTGTATTATTGAATCATGACAATGAAGTGTGAAATTAGGAAGAGAGCGCTTGCGGCTGAATATGGAGCGCTCCAATAGAACTAATGGAGCGCTTATGGCCCCGTTGGGTACATACATTTAAGATAAGAAAAATCATGTTGAGGCGCGTCTGCTAACACCAGGCGCCTAAATACATGCTATATACGGCTGCATGTGCAAAAATTTCCTTTATGCAATTTAGGAAATCTTTGCACATGAACTTCTCAACTGTCATGTAATTGAACTTTCTTAAGTTTTAATTAGATGGCACTTCAAAGTATGCTCGGCCTGGTCTGATGCATCCTCCGGACACTGCTTCCGGAGCATTTTGCGGACTCTGCATGGCTTATAACCGTGCAGAGGTGGTAAACGAACTTTACCATTGGCCACAGTGCCTACCAACCATTTTTGAACCAATACATATTTTTTTATATAAATACATACATGCAAACATACTGGTCTCCCCTCTCACTGAGTTGTTCAATCTTGATACAAATATTGAAAGGTACCCACCAAACAAATTTTGTTGCCGGTAATAAGAAAACGTGTCGCCCTCCGAAACAAATTTATTGTCGGTAATATCGCCATCGTATCGATTTCTTAATACCAGTCGCTCTAAGGAGTCCGCCGAAAGCAAACCGCCTGGGCGAGTCGTTTTCTTATTACCTGAATAATTTTATTATTTCTAATACTCCATTTATTTTTTGTACACAAAATTGGAACTGAGTCAGAGTTTCGGAAAAGAGCAACTTCAATTATGTGATATTTTATTTCCAATCAGTAGTGGTATTTTTACATATCCATTGACAAGCAGTGTTGCCGCCAATCATTTTTAGTGGTAGCCAAATTCCTTTAAAAAAGGGCTAAAAAAAGTCGTAGTGGCTGAAAATGGTAGCTAAAATTTTTTACTTACATATACATATATAAGTATACACGAAAACATCTTCAATAAGTAATGGTATAGAAAAACAGTGAACTCTGGAAAAAAAGCTTATATTTTATCCAACCAAAAACCTTTTTTATATAAAAGGGGAAATATCCCTGTAGTCAAATGAACTAGTTGTAAACTACCTCACAACTAGTATGGACCGCATGCCCAACTAGTCAGCCAACTATCTTTTTTCCATGCAATCAACTGGTATTTTTAACATGGGGATGTCCTACGAGATGGCAATTGTCAGATTTCGGTCTGAAATATACCGGTCTCATACTAGTTCAAAATAGACAGAAAAATACTAGTCTAATTATGGACCGAAACCAATACTTTGCGAATAAAAAAATAAAATGAATTCATGAATAAACAATAAAAAACTTTTAAGCACATTTTAATATATTACACATTTTTATGTAGCTGCCTTAGATTTTCCAATAATTAGTGTTAAATTTTTTGAGTATTAAAAAAAAAATAAACACATAGATAGATATTTCAAACTTTCGAATATAAATTTGAATGTATTTTTCAATAAATGTTATTAAAAGTAAAAGGTTTCAGGTACAATAAATACCTTATTTTGATCATTTTTAATAATATTGAATATGCGAAGGAAAAAATTTTAGTTAAAAATAAAATGAATACTTTAGCTCATTTTTGAGTGAACTAAAATAAAAATAAAAGTTTTCCTTAAAATAATAAATTTCAGTCTATTATTTTTAAAAATTTATAAAAGTAATAATTAATGTTTAAAATTTGAGATTTCGATAAGAATAAATAATAATCCCAACGGGTTTTACCCTCCATTCCCGCCCATCCGCACGAGAGGCACAATCCGCATGACGTACGGAACTGTTCAGCTACAGAACTAAATTCATCAGCCGCTTTTATGTCTTTATTTTAATGATTCATTTATTGAGAGAGGACAGTATCGATTTCTTAATGCTGAAAAGCGGATCTGATATATCAAACATTCTGGAATGAGAGTTAAAATCCTGGCATAAGCAACGGAGTGGGTCGTGCAATTCAAAATTAGTTTTACAAGCTTTCAGAAATAGGGGACTAAAGTATATTGATACCCGGGTGGGAACATTAAGGCAAACTTCGCCCAGAAGAAGCGGACTTGAAATTGAGCCTGTTAAGGCTGATTCACATACAACTTTCTTCGCTTTGCTTGATAGTTCTTTGCTTTGACATATAAGATCGATGTAGGCATATGCATGAGTATGCTCACATAAAAAACGTTTGAAGCAAAGCAAAGCCAAACGAAGCAAAATCTTGGGCAACTCTCAACTTTTGCCTGCTTTGGCAATCAGCTGTCTACATGTATCTTTTCTCGCGCGCTTGCATTTGCATTTAATGACGAAAATAGGGTAAATAGGAATTATTATTGCTATTAAGAATGGATATTATTATATGTTATCTATTTTACAGATGAAAAATATGGAGGAAAAGGAGAACGCAAAAGCTGTCAAAGCGTTTATTGTAGCATACCTTCTGGGTTTCACGCTTTGTTGTCAAAGTTTGAACTGTCAAGCAAAGCGAGGAAAGTCTTATGTATATGGCCCTTTAGTAATTTAAATATAAAAACTGTACCAAGCATTTGCCTGCGACTGGAAAGTGTAGGAAGATTACTATATTCAATCCCGACTCTTGCGTCCTCGTTCACGCACTCTGGGCAACGTGAGCAACCCATGTGCAAGATGCGGTAACCAATCCGAGTGGAGCCTTGGGTCACAGCAGAAAGAGAGGGAGCTACGGTGGGGCCACTCCGACTTATTAGGTTTAAGGGCTCACTGAAGT